TTGACTTGGAAAGTTGAAGATCCAATGATGAAATGCATTGTTTCTCTATCCCAAACAGTTAACATTGTCCTTTGCTTACCCTTTTTGAGCAAGAAAAAGGTAATCATCCAAATTCAGAAAAGCCAAGATGATTTTCTTCTTGTTAACCCGCATTAATGACCGAGGTTGTGAAGAGAGAAATGTGAGGGGAATATATGAAGAAATTGATTTTGAGCCTTTACCCTTTCTTTCATAGTAGCCTAACCCCAAGCCACATTACAAGCCTATATAAAGTCCTTATTTGAGGGTTTGAAACTTTCTTTGTCAAGGAACATTAAAAAAAAAACAAACAAAAAAAATCCTTTCTCAAGCGAGTTGAAGTTATTTAGCTTGATGGTTTATGATCGGTCTTCTAGACATTGAAGATTAGTTCATGGGAAGGAGATAGATTGGATTTGTTCACCTTGACATGGAAGTAGACATTGTCTCATATGCTAAAGACTGGATTGGTGGAGTTGTAAAAGAAATGAATTCTTGAAGCAAATGCTTTATAGTCTGAATGCCTTCTAGCTTTGTTAAAATTGTTGTATCAAAAGTTGTGCAATTCAAAAATCATGTTTATCTCTTTCTATCCATACATAGTATCCATGCCCTGGCTTTCTTTTCCTTGTTTAGATTGGGATGCTGATTGGTTATGATGCTTTATTTCAATTAATATAATTGTTGAAATCTCTTGATAAATCTAAAAAAAAAAAAAAATGAAAGTTGCAAAGAAAAGCAAGAGCTTGATTCAATGGTCATGGTGCTCATCCTCTCCTACAATGATTCGAGAATTTTCTCCAGTGAACTACAGATGCTCTCAAGTCATTAAACTTTATGCAAAGCATGTCATCGAACCTATTGATAAATACACAACATGAAGGACAATTGACTCCTGCCAAGTATGGACATCCAATATATTCAAGGAAGTTTCTTAGCCTTTCTCGCTTAGTTAGAAAACCATTTTCTCGCTTGGTTAAAAAACCTTTTCTCGCTTGGTTAAAAAACCATTTTCTCACTCGGTTTAAAAACCATTTCTTACTTGGTTAAAAAACCATTTTTCTTGGTTTAAAAATCATTTCTTGCTTGGTTAAAAAACCGTTTCTTGCTTGGTTCAACAACCATTTCTCTCTCGGTTAAAAAACCGTTTCTTGTGTGGTTCAAAAACCATTTCTACTCGGTTAAAAAACCATTTTTCATTCGGTTAAAAAAACCGTTCCTTACTTGGTTCAAAAACCATTTCTCTCTCGATTAAAAAATCGTTTCTTGTGTGGTTCAAAAACCATTTCTACTCGGTTAAAAAACCGTTTCTTACTTGGTTCAAAAACCATTTCTACTCGGTTAAAAAACCGTTTCTTACTTGGTTCAAAAACCATTTTTCATTCGGTTAAAAAAATCGTTCCTTGCTTGGTTCAAAAACCATTTCTACTTGGTTAAAAAACCGTTTCTTACTTGGTTAAAAAACCATTTCTTGCTCGGTTAAAAAACCGTTTCTGCTCAACTGGCTCGGTCGTTTGACGTAGCCACTCAAAACTAGCTCGTCGTTTGACCGTAGCAACTTGACTTACTCGGTTAAAAAATCGTCTCTTCCTTGGTTAAAAAACCATTTTCTCACTCGGTTTAAAAACCGTTTCTTGTGTGGTTCAAAAACCATTTCAACTTGGTTAAAAAACTGTTTCTTACTTGGTTCAAAAACCATTTTTCATTCGGTTAAAAAACTGTTTCTTGCTTGGTTCAAAAACCATTTCCCGTTCGGTTAAAAAAAAACCGTTTCTTGTGTGGTTCAAAAACCATTTCTACTCGGTTCAAAAACCATTCCTTACTTGGTTAAAAAACCATTTTTTGCTCGGTTAAAAAACCGTTTCTGCTCAACTGACTCGGTCGTTTGACCGTAGCTACTCAAAACTAGCTCGGTCGTTTGACCGTAGCAACTCGACTTAATCAGTTAAAAAACCATTTCTTGCTTGGTTAAAAAACCATTTCTGGCTTTGTTAAAAAATCGTTTCTGCTCAACTAGCTCGGTTGTTTGACCGTAGCAACTTGACTCCCTCGGTTAAAAAATCGTTTCTTGCTTAGTTCAAAAATCATTTCTCCCATGGTTAAAAAATCATTTCTTGCTTGGTTCAAAAACCATTTCTACTCGGTTAAAAAACTGTTTCTTACTTGGTTCAAAAACCATTGCCCCCTCAATCTAAAAAAAAAAAAAATGTTTGAGTTATTTTTATCTTTTCTTTTCATTCTTAACAGAAATAAAAGAAAAGAAAAGAAAAGAAAAGAAAAGATGGGCAACTGTCATAACTCAAATTTTTAATAGGATTTTATTTTTATTTTATTTTAACTAATATATTGTTATCTTTGCTTCTATTGTTAGGTTTATGGGTAAAAAGGGGATTTCGCAAAGAGGATGGTAAAGAAAACGAGAAAAAGGACTCAATGGAAGAAATGAAAAATTGGAGTGGTGCAATGCAAAGTCCAGCTCAAAACCTAAATTCAGATCCAATTACCCAAAAGGCCCAAAATCCCAAAACCCATCAAACCCAATCCAAAACCCACCAAACTCAAACCAACAATTACCCAAAAAGCCCAAAATCCCAAAACCCATCTAACCCAAACCCACCAAAACCAAACTAAAAAAAAAAAAGAGAGAAAAAGAAAAAGAAAAAGAAAAAGAAACCCAAAGAACCAAGAAAAAAGAAAGGGAAGGTATCTCGAACCTTCCCCTTCTTCTTATATTTTTTTACTTTTCTCCTTCCCGAACCACCCCCTTGCTGCCTGCAACCAGCCTTGCGCACCAACACCCTTGCCCAGCGCCCCTACTCTGCATCCTCACCCGAGCCCGGCTTGCTGCCTACACCCCTAACCTGCACCTGCCCTGCACCGCGCCCTACCCCCTATCACCGAACTAGCCATCATCACACCCTCGCACTCCTGCAACCTGCCCTGCACCGAGCCATCATCGCCCCCTTGCACGCCTGCAACCTACCCTGCACCGAGCCGACTCCGCTTCCCTTATCTTGCACCCCTCGAGCCTACAGCAGCCTGCACCCCCCCCTCTCTGCGCCGCCCCTCTTCTGCAACTAGATCCTGCAGCCTCCTCTCTGCGCCGTCCTTTTCCTGCAAAGATAGATCCTGCGCCCCATGTTGCAGCCAACTGACCATAATGGCAGACCAGCGTCCTTTAGGTTTTCCTTTGAATTTTGTATAAATAGGAGAAGATTGGTGAGTTTAAGGGGTTCGGATTTTTCTCTTTCTGCGGTTCCTCTTCTTCTTGTCACTAAAAAAGAGAGAAAGCAGAAGACAGAAATCCGAAAGAAGGAGGGGGTCTCTGTTGTTTTTGTGAGTCTGGTGTTGACGGCGGAGGAAAGGAGAAACTCTCTGTTGAAAGGGGGCTCGGTTTTTGTATCCGGAGGTTGACGGAGGGCTTATTTGCTGTGTCTGCTTCTGTTTAGGTAAATCTTTGAACAGAGGAATTTTCTGGGAATGGTGGTGAAGGGGA